ATTTACTCTTCTTCTCCAAGAGGTCAACTCCTTAATTAAGACTCTTTCTGCTGCCTTTTTTCCTATGTCTGTTTCATTGCTACGTTATTCTTTTCCATTGAATCACATTGTGCTGTGCTGTGGGAGCTGGGGTTTATACAAAATGATGAGATACAATATTTTAAGGCAAAGAAAATATTACGATTGAAGTTTGAGGGGGCACTTCCAAAAAAGCAAGCTGTCATCAATTAAAGATAGTATTACTGTGAGTGCTATAAATAAACAGAATATGGCTTTTTATAGTTTCCCTCATTCTTAATAAACAAACTGGTTTTTTTTACAGAATTTCTCATTCATGTGGATGTCAGGGGAATATCCCTTATTAAAGATTAAGCACAGATGTAGCATATTACGTGCCTTCAAGTCAGTCTTGAGTCCTGGTGATGGCCTAGACTAGATCATGCAGTTTTTTTGGCAATATGTTTCTTTGCCTCTTTCCCAGCATTGAGAGAAAGCTCTAGGCCCAAGGTCCTGCAGCTGGGACAAGAATTCAGACTCCCAGATTCTGGCTTGGGAGTTCTTAATAACTACCAAGCAGTGGTGGGTTTCAAAAATTCTTCAAACCTACTCTGTGGGTGTGGCCTCCTTTGTAGGAGTGGCTGGATGCCCATGTGACTGGATGGGAGTGGCTTGCCCCCATGTGACCGGATATGAAGATGCTGACGACACTTGTCAGAACCACCTTAAATTACCTCACACACAGCACTGGCATGCATAAGAATATGATGTAAACTTGTTTTTTAAAAGGCGCATCTTTGGTTTGTGTTAAAACAACTTCAACACACGCAATGTTCTGATTGCACCACAAATGCAGTAGTCATCCTTACCTTTCACAGAGGCACTGATTTTTATAAATATGAGCATGATAGTGTAGAATAATCATATCCAAGGACCAGTGGTGGGTTTCAAAAAATTTTGGAACCTCTTCTGTACAGGGCCGGATTTTCCTATAGGCTAACTAGGCTTCAGCCTAGGGCCTCAAGATCAAGAGGCCCCTACATTCAAATTGTTAGCAAAATTAAAATTACACTTTTCTAAAAACAGTGAACACTAAAACACTGAACCGAAAATAAGGAGAAATTCTACGCATATGACTAATAAACAAACATAAAAATGTATTGGTTAAGATCGTTCCAACGCCGCGGCAGTTGGGGAGCCCGCCCACGTTCCCGGCACCGGCGGTCGGGCGAGAGTCGCAGCCGCTCCCAGTAGCCGCCCCGTTGACGCGGAGCCCACCAGTGGCCAGGCAGTTGAGGGTGAGGGGGCCGAGCCGGGCAGCTGAGCGCAGCAGGGGAGGCGGCTGGCCTCGCTGCCTTTGCCGCAGAGCAGAGCCGCCTTCCATCGGGAGGCCAGCTATATATATTGATATATATTGATATATATCACAGTAATGATGTATTTTATTGTCTCTCATGTAATTTACAAACTTAAAAATGGGAGGTGAAAGGGCCTCATAAGTGGAATAGCCTAGGGCCTCTTTTCATCTAAATCCAGGCCTGCTTCTGTAGGTGGGTCCACTGGTAGAACCTCTTCTAACCGGTTCGGTAGATTTGACGAACTGGTTCTACTGAATAGGTGCGAACTGGTAGGAACCCACCTCTGCTACCAAGACTTATTTTTCCAAAAGGGGAGGAGATGTATTTTATTATGTGAAAATTGATTAAGTTTAAGATGAATTTGTGTAGCTTCTACAGTAGAATAGCAAGGAACAGCAATTTATAAGATCTCACTGTTTAAAAGTAAGGTGAAAATAACTTGAAATATATGTGACGGCCCCTCTGGCTGGTTTTTTCTAAAGTTGCAAAACCCTGATAGCAAAAAGCCCCTATTATGCCTGAATTGGCAGAAAAAGGTAGCAAGTTTGAGAAAGGTTGTTTTCTCTATTCCTCCCATTTTGGGATATGCAAGGAGCTAAATGGTTCACCTATTTATTTAGCAAAGACAGTGTGGTCAGAAAGCAAAGGAAAATGGTTAAAAGTGCATCAAAGCCTAATCCTGGCATTTAGTTCTACCTACTTTTGTGTCTTCCAATCCAATTGCTCTCTTTGTTTAAAAAAAGAAAAAAATAAGGAAAAGAAAAAATGGCTGCAATATTTTCTTTTTACCAGTAAAGGGAGCAAGAACATCACATAAGAATTTCAGTAGCCTTCTGCCCTCTACTGACAAAAGAAAGGACTACAGCAAATGTTTTGTAGAGGATTTTTGCTGCTGTTTTTATTAAAGTACCTACAAAAATAATAAAATACCTTTCACAAGTGTTACAAGTAATGGCTGCTATACTGATTAGACTTATTTAGATGAATGGAGGAATGAATGGAAATGATGAAGTCTAGAACTCTTCAATAAGAGAGTTCTTTTTTTTTTTAACTAACAAACATGTAAAATACACACACACAAAACTTAGACATACACCACATTTGCACAATACAATACGAACAGGGGCTTCCTGTTATTTCTAATAGCAATTATTAATCGGTTATTAATCGATTATTAATCGATATCGCTCACCTTATATTATTTTCCCGTCTATTGTATTTCATTCGGATTTCACCATTCTTAACCTTCTTATTTTACTCATAACTATTATTTTTGAGTTTTGTTATATTTCTTCATTGATTCTTGTTTCTTTCCTC